TCACCACAACCTTTTCATAAAGCTTCTATGTGGGCTTTACTAGTTAAAAGTAAAATAAGGTTGGTAAAATAATATGTACAATTCTTCCAATATACAATATTTCCTTTAAATCAAGAAAGTAATTAGTATTGATATAATTTTAGCGATAGTCATTCGAATATACTGACAAATATATTCGAATGACTAATGACTAAAAATATATATATAAAAAAAAATAAAAAAAATTGCAATGGAACTCGATGTTCATTTAGAAAAAAAGTTAAAAAACTGTTTATCTTATATAAAATTTTCAGTTTTTATCAGAAACTTAAAGAAGTTTAACGGTTTTACCTTATTATTTTTTTTTTTTAAGTTGATTAAGGTGCCCCAAGAAGTCCTCACGGTCTTATCACAGAGCACCGCGGAAGAGCATTTAATAGGAAGTTCACGCCTCCTTCCCAACCGATGTCGCAAAACTTGCCCAGAGGTGGGGTTTGAACCACGGATCTTACGTTTGCAATGTGGTAGCGCACTTGCCTACCAGCCGTGGCGCAGTGGTAGGCAAGTGCGCTACCACTGCGCCACGGCTGCTTAATTTTCTGAAGTGTTTTATTGTTTTGGTTCATGGTGTGCTATTCTATATTCAGAATACTTGCTACTAATATTTGACAATTAATGCGTATTCCATAGGTTTATTCTAAAGAGAATACTTTTTGCTCATATTTTTGGTAAGCTTATTATTGAAATTATTTGGAATCAAATTTATGCATTAAAATTAGGTGTTGGTAAATATTGATTTCATATATATATTCATTATTTGCTTCTTTTTTTTCATTAGTGGTTTTGCATGTTCATATTATTTTTTTTAATATATAAATCTGTAAGCATGTTTTTGTAGAGAAATTTTTTTTTTAAGTTTTGATAGTTGAGTACTACCTCATGCAAATTACCCATTGGAATAGTAAATAAGTTCAAAGTTCATGTCAGATTTTTTTGTTTATAAAAAAATTAATATAATTTAGTTTATAAATTTTTATTTTTTTTCAGTTTCATAACTTTTGTAATTGATTCAGATTGAGTAACAACTATTAGTTTTTAAGTACGCTATATCATTTAATAAGGAAAGGGGGTTGGAAGGGATTTTTTTTTTTTTTTTTACATTTGTAGCCATAGTGAAAATATTACAAATACAAACATAAAATTGTTACTGATCTAATCGTCAGTACTTTTTGTAAGCGTGTGGATATAAACCACGTCAATCAATAATCAATAAAATAACATTTTACAATAAAAGTTCTAAAAAAATATGCATAGTTAAAATTAAAGGTACCTGACCACATCATCTATTGAAAGAATTAAATTTTTTAATTTACATTTAAAATGGGAAAAGTAGAAGATCTATCGAAATTATACAAAAACTTATTGCAAAGATAAAGTCCTCAATATGTAATAGAAAATTGATTAAACCTGATTCAACAAAATGGTTAATTTATAATGTTATAATTATAATTAATTATAAATATTTGTTTGTAATAGATATTTATTTGCTTAAAATAGATATAGATATTTAAAATAGATATTTATTTGCTTAAAATAGATATTTAAAAATGGACAAAGATAAGTTATTTTTTTTAATATATAAAAGGCATTTTGCATTAAAATCATTAGGTTCATAAATATTTAAAATCTTTTTTTAAACAAAAAAAAAAAAAAAAAAACGGTTCGGAATGAGTGCATCAATCCGCAATATTAATTAAAAGGGATTACATGTTTCTTAAGTCGAAGAAAACATAAACAACTGAATAAAGACACTTAACGGGTTATAACTAAAAAATGGTAATGACTTTAGAGACAAAGTTATGCAACATACTTTATATTAATTATAGTTGCAATCTTACCTAGTTTATAGCATTTTAAATTTTCTACAAAACTTGTTTTATTTTAAATCAAAATAATTTATTGTTACAGAGAAAATTGAAAGAAAAACAAGAACCCTGTTGAGAACGATTGTACAGCTTCTATTTGAAAAATCGATCTAAAGAGAAGAAGTTTATAGTTGATCGTTTTCTTGCTAAAAAATTTCCTATTAACACCATCTATGTCATTATTCAATACGCTGAAAATAATTATGGGCATCAGAGAGTCCTTGGAAGAGGAAGGATTGCTAAAATTAAGACGAAAAAGAATATCGGAAGACTTAAAAGAATGTTTGACCACAAAAATGGCATATTGCAAACACAAGAAGCTCGGAAATTTAAGTGCACTTAATTATATATCAGCAAAACATTAAAAACAGTCTTTAAACAGGCTAAAGAAGAAGAAGATTCCATTAAGAACTTATGGCCAAATAAAGACAACTCGAACGAAGTACAGTTGGCTGTATCGAATTTCTGACAATAAATCATTAATCCTTGATGACGAGTCGAACTTCACATTTTACCACTCTTAGATTAATGGAAATAATATTTATTATTCAAACACTATCAAGTGTCAAATTCACCCACACTGCAAAATATGAAAAGAAATTACTCGTTTGGATTCGCTTTTCCGATAAAAGAATATCTTCGCTAATATTCATAAAAAGTAGCTTTACAATCAACCAAAAAGTCTACAAAAATGATAGTATCAAGAACAAACTAATTCCATTTATCAATAAGCATCATTCTGATGATGAATATACATTATTTTGGCTTGATCTGGCATTGTCTTATTACGCAAAATCTGTACAAAACTACATGAATGAGAAAAATATCATTTTTGTCAAAAAAAAAGATAACTCTGCAAATGTGTCTGAATGTCGTCATGCAAAATAAAGAGGCTATCCTTATGAAGAATGCCTACTTAAATCCTGACCTTGAAATAATGTGTTTACACTCCATTGTCCAAATGGCTATATCAGTCGATGCATTTACATTCCGCTCACACCTATATCAGTCGATGTATGTACACTTTGATGCATCTATTAAACAAAATTTAAAAAAATATAAAAATTAATTAAGAATGAAATAGTA